TACCAATGTGATATGACGTGATATAAAAGTATGAATCAAAATTTATTATGCTAATGATTATGGGGTTGTTCGTCTAGATCACAGTCAGCTGGCACATAAATGATTATAAAATAAATGCGACATTTACTACTAGTACTTGTTATGGGGCCGCCATCTTGAATACGGCATGAACCTAAATAAATAAAGTCTCTTTATTTAGTTTAATGCCGTATTCAAGATGGCGCCCAATATAGTAAATATCGCATTTATTTTATTATCACTTGTGTGCCAGTTAACTGTGGTCTACGTCATCGACTATTAAAGCGGGAGAGTCGTCACCTGCGCCCGTGACAGACGGCCATATTGCGTCGCTATTTCCAAAAAAAACGTTTACCCATGAGCCTGTTTGTTTTAGAACGAACGACAACGCGTGACGTAATCTCATAACGTAATGTTTAGTGGTGTCATTTTCAAAAATTCGCTATATTCCCGGATTTCGCACCAAAAATAAAACTGCGAAATCGCAGTGTGATGAACAGTTATTTGTAGTGTGCAACCTATAAACGAGGTTGAACAAAAATGGCGTGTATGATAACATACACGGACAAAAAAAACCTACTATGTAAACATGCTATCGCTATCGCTATCGAGTGAACGAACAACCACCCAGGCTTGACTACCCTAATTACCTACCTCATTTAACAATAAATCTGTTTTATTGTTATCTGAGTACCGACAAAGTGTGATGCATGAAGTTGCGTTCGTTTGGCGAGGGTGTTAGTGTGAGTTCTGTTGGGCTTGGCATTATTTTTTTGTTAGAACAAAACGCTTTCAAAAATGCACGACGATACCTCGAGCTAGTGGCGTTGTAGATAAATATATTGACAGTAGAATTCAATAGTAGGAAATACACAGAAAAATTATTTAAACAAACTTTGAAGTCAAGGGTTATGTTTAGAACGTCATCGACCTCGACCTCCAGGAGCTCAATGACGTCCAGTAACCATTTAGGAAAATGAAAGAAAAAAGTTAATGCAGCTGTGATGGCGCACATCCGTACCACCTGCTTGTCATCCTTGTTCGCTGAGTCTTTGGTATTTTCCGTTGAATGAGATCGTTTTTTCAATTCGCGGATTATTGCAATGTACCACATAGTAATGAGTAACATAGGAACGAGGATAACCAGAATACTGACGAGTTCCACGAAGATTTTTTTCCAGAGGAAATAAGTTGATCTTTGGCACTCCACGACAGAGACAAGTACGGCGGTGATGAGTAGGCTAAAAAGCCAACACGCTGCGATGTAAAACGCTGTTTTAGTTTGCGGAGTCACTCCTGACGAATGATGACGTAGTGGCTTACAAACTGCGAAGTAGCGCTCGAAGCTTATGGCGAGGATGGTGAACGTCGAAGCGTAGAGGGCTATCGCGTTGAATATAATAACGGAGCAGTTTGCAACCAAGTTAGAAACGAATACACATTGCATGTAATCTTGTAAAACGCAAATGCAAATCATCGCATTGCCTAGGAGATAGAACGAATCAGCAAATGCAAGATTCACCAGCAATGCATCTAAGGTACTCCTCAATGTCGGTATCCTAGCAACGGCATAGACAAATGCGCAGTTACCCAATAATCCAAAGATGCAAATGACCAAAGCCGTCGTCATCTGCGTCGAACGCTGGATGTGGCAAGTTAAATACTGATCTTGAACGCCGAATTGGTTGTCTAATGAGGTGTTATGATATGTTCCGTTTATTGTCGTAACATCGAATCCAGCCATTGCGAAGATGTGTACCCGTACTATTGTTCCGACGAAGTCGACTTTGCAGTTTTCAAGCCTTTGATCTTCACCCTCTGAGCGCTCAAGTCAACGTTGACTACCTTTCGCAAAAACAAATTTGCATAATTTGTTTCTGTGTGTTCTCACAAATTGTGGTCAAGATATGTAGCCAATGGCAAATTATGCATGCCCACAGTTATAAAAATAATCAAATAAAATAATTTATAAGTTGCGTATCATACGGGAATAGTTGTGCAGACTTGCGTTACAATCCCCGGAGCCGATTAAACCTCTAATCTCGCAAATACACTATATTGGTCTGCGTAAATAATACATCTGACAACGTGTTATGTTTAACCGCGTGGCCGTCTTATTGGCTGCCTTTAAATATAACCTATGAGAGTGTTCTAATTAGTTTTCGAATTCTTCGGAGAAAAATTCTGTATAATGTACAAACTGATGCGCCACACTGATATCAACTAATCGCTTCAGTTCAAATCAACGTAATGGCCGTGTTACAGTGCGCAGAATAGATATAACAGTAAAGCTTCGGTGCTTTTATACTGTGTATCGAAGAACGTTCCAATTTTAATATTTGGCTCAAGCTTGCGTCATCGATATAAGACCAGTGCTACAAATACGACACGAAACTGAAAAGAAAGGTAAAAGTATCCATTAATAAACACAGACAAAGATAACGTTGAATGTGGTTCCCAGAAACCAATTCGTGGTTGTTCCAATGTTTGTCTAAATCGACTAGATGGTCTACAATGAGTGGTTTCGTGATGTGTAACTATTGTGGTCAATGATTCTCCCACGCCACTATATGAAATGCTGCATCACCATCAACCAAATCAGAATGTGCATCCATTAAGTTGACTACTAGGCATTGACCACGGCTAAAATATTAAAAAAAAGACATCGACTTCCCTCAATCAGTTCAAAGTACAATTCTATTACAGGCTAATGATATAAACTAATAATTTGCACTTAAGTTTGACGTTTAATGCAATCACAAAAACATTGAACATCTCATGTTGTTGTTTTGTCACTGCTCTCTCTCTCTCTCTTTAAGTACAAATTACAAGTGCAATATCTCGTGTTTGTAACAACCCGAATAGACTTAGTTAAAACAAATCATGAACCAGTATGTCGCCGCAAAATACCATCATTATACAGAATTCAACGAATCTCACGTTTCGTTGTGAGGACCACGTGGAGTTTTTCATTTGTATGCAATTGCTTAATGGGTATATTGGTATATGGTAGTCTGAGTCCATAGTGGGCTGAGATCACAGATTAGTTACTGATCACCTGTAGGGGACATGAATAATCGTGAATGATTAGATACGGATTGGTTACAGAATGATAGCGTTATCAGCAGAGTACAGCGCATACTTGGAATTAACTGACATTTTAGAATTAAACGGTATTAATCCGACCTTGCATCGTTTAAAATAACATTACGTCCTTTAGTTCAAGAATTTATTAATTTAAATTTGTCAGTTTTTTTTTGTACTTGTTTGTTTGTTTGCCTAGTTGCTATTTTTTGAGAACTGTTTGTAATTATACGTGCTAGCCAGTTGAGCCCCGGGGTAACAGTGACAAATACAATAAAAATACCCAAGTCATGAATTATACACATTCACCTTTTCAACAATGTATGCTAGCAATTGTGAGATGTGGTTGTTCACATTGCGCACGTCATGATCATTTTTTTTTATCTTATGATAGCCATCATTTCGAGGGGAAAAAAAGAGAAAGTAAGGATACATGCAATTTCCCACACTTGTATTTGTATGTAGCACGCTGAACTATTACAATATTGTTTCGCACGCCGTAACTCGTTTTCAAAAATTCCCATCACTGGACAATAGACCTTTTCCCGTTCGCTGCGAGATCCCACGCTATGCGTGAAATCAAAAGTAAAAACAGACCAAACAAAAGTCATAGCGTCGTGATGACGTCAAAACATTGCGTGGGATTCGAAAATATTTTAGAGATATTTTCACGCTGAATAACGCGCTATCCACAATTGTGATAGTCAATTTCGATGAAGTAAGGCTATCTTAACGAAATATTCACAATGGGCTATAAATTTATAAAACAAATTCAAAATCAAATTGTTCGATTTTAGCGACAGAAGTTAAGTCCGCGCCTTTCACGCATTACGCGAGATCTCGCAGTAAACGGAAATCATCTCTTATATTTTTCTAATAAATATATTGTGAAGAGTTAAACATTATGAACTTTTGCTGATGGCTCAAAAGTATAACGCTTCAGTTGTTGTGAGGACTCTACAAATTAACTAATGAAGCATGCATACATACACTGCTGAAAAAATGTGTCTGCAATACAATGATAGAATCTTGTGATCGGCTAATTTGCATATTTAATTATAACTTGGAGACACTATAACTACAATATGGCGTATGATTCCAGTTTTTAAACAAGAGTGTGTCTTTGGATAATGTATACACAGCCGTAACATTTAAGAGAATTAATATAATTATGCAACAACTGACAAGAGAACTAAATTTTTAGAAAGCACTTTCTTATCTCATTTGCTTATTAGTTAAATATTTTGAATATGTAAATAAATATTTATAAATCTTCATCTCAAACGTAGTCGTGTGCAAAATGCGGTTCCCTATCCACTGCTATCGTTTGCCCGACAAAATACCGCCTACTGTTATTATTGCTGAACAAAATGAAATGTATTAACACCGCTCTCTCGTTTCGCTGTCTTCCTGTGGGCTGTACAGTTTTTAAAATATCCCTTTCATAAGATGAAAGAAACAAGATGAAATACATCGATTTTATTTAGATGACACGCAAAATCAATACAATACTCACATAATTTACATGTGGTTATAGAGTCCTAAACAATAAACGAGTCTCTTTACAGTTGTTTTGATGCTCTTTATTCACCGATAATTATATTTTATTCAAGCTACACGTATTCTAATCAGAGCACATTTTTACTTTTACTCGAAAAAGAAAAAAGCATCAAACATCCAATTATCAGTAGCGTGGCGTCTGTATGTCCTTGTCAAACATTAACGAGCTTGTTTGTCAATTTCATGAAATAGAAATGTATGATTCACTGAAATTACCTGCCATCGAATGCGATAACATCTGATTTAATTTCCGACAACATAAAGCAGAATGATGACTGAAAAACATACACGTATTTTTTGCCATATTTGATTTATAACATTATAGTAAAAACTCTCCTTTCTAGTTTGTTCGATATCACACAATCTTCGTTATCAAATCTTATATAAATGATCACACGGGGAACAGATATATCTAAATTTTAATGATGATAAATTCAACTGTATTTTATATATAATTTCCGTTCTTAGATTTGTTGACCCTTTATCGGCCAGGCTCTAAAAAATAACTTGCGCCGTGAATTCAACTCTATTACAATCTCCAAATGTATGTATTTTCGTTGGTGACCACGGGATGAAATTCGTCCCAATCGGTGCTGTAACAACACTGAACAACACATTCGTTCTACATATCATTATAATTGTGTGTAATGCTGTGTGCGCCTCTAATTCTTGTATAAACTGAAAGTGGTTTGTCAGACAGGATAATTCGAATGCCATACATAATGCAAGAAGCATATTTCTGGCACAAAACTATGCATATTAACTATCTCATTTGTTTATCCTTTAATGACGTCATTTGGGTATATGAGCTTCAGTTTTACTTGCATGTACAACGTATCGGTTACGCAAATGAATATTTTCGGGGGGGGGGGGGTAATGCCTAAATGTTTGGCATTGGATGACAATATAGGTCTGTACTAGTAAGCCCATTATCAACTCAAACTAAAAGTATTTTTTTTAATCTCACAACATCGATGTCTCGAGATAGCGCGGCCGTTGATCAGAGCAACGTATACTGTAATAAAAAGGGTATTACAACTATGCAGATATTATACTGATTTTGACGCATCAAATATGTTTATATTACAGATCTGTATCATTCTTGAGTAAGAGAAAAAAGTTATATGCCGTACATATTATGTATCAGTATCTCGCACTTACCTGCAAACACGTTCTCAGTTTCGTAAATACTGATTCACATTAAACAAATACACACCGGATGGCCGGCAGTCTTTTAGGAGACGACACGGACTGAACATCTCTGACGGTAAAAGTACCTTGTACTGTATATTTAATGTGTACGTGCTTGTCATTTTATGAGTCTCCGCATGATCGCATGTATGTCTACACTGAATCTAGTTGTTTACCTATATCAACCTAGTGGAATCTCCAGGTTCAGTAAATTAAAAGAAAGGTCGACGCTGTCAATGAGGTTTGTTAGTAATGTGCACTAATTAAAATAATGTTATACTGTAAAATGCATTATTTTAGCTGGAATTTATTTTCACTAACTTTTGACAGGTTCAATGTAAAATATAAAAAAAAAGGTATATTCGCTGAATTTTATTTTCACTGAATCATTCCTTCAGCGAAAATAGCGAAAATTAATTCCAAGTGAAAATAAAGTATTCTACAATAGATATACTAATCGCTTCATCTATTAAAGCTCGTATGATAAATACCCTCATTATCCACCTGCCTGGCGGAGAAATTGTGTTCTACGTAACATACGTTGCTATGGCAATTCAATCGAGAAGTAGATGTTGCGTTTAGGCGATTAATGTGTTTGTACAAACATATTATTATTTTCTGAATATGGTATTTCAAATACCATGTCATTTTTTACTATATTTGTACGACGGGATTTTGTAGTTGCAATTAAGTAATGTTCACTGATGATCGTGACCGCAAGAAAAAAAAAACAAATTTATTCGTTTCTATACTGGGAAATGAGCCTTCATCAAAGTTAATGACACATTGCGGATACTAAATTAACTATTATAGGTGTAATTCACCATAATAACACTATAAATAATTCCCAAAGGGTGCGTAGCTGGATATCAGTATGTATTTTATATTACGCACCACGGCATACTGAAC